CTCTGTAAGTCAATGGACTACAGAGACTAGCTGGGATCTGTTGAGTATGACTCACTTACAAATTCTAGAACTACGGACTTTCCAATAGTAGCACTCATTACTGGATTGACTTGCAACAACCTTGTGCATAACTGTTACCTTTATTCTTATTGTACTGGTTTTTTGCAATAAACCATTACTTATTTTATCCACCTTGTTTTTCAAGTATATATTCCTATTAGTACAGAATATAAAACTAACCAAAAAAAAAAAAAATCATGGGTTATTTTTGGGAAGGTTTGATTTTTCTATTGTTATACCACTAATATTCTATTCTAACCATACACCATTGGATGCCTTAGTTTCAACATAACCCTTGTATGTTGGTTCTTTTTACTAATTTCATCTTTACCATAGCTTTTTATTTGAGTGCTGTTAATCAGTTCAGTCTTTGGACATTTGAGTGAAAGGAACCTGTCAAAAATTAATAAATATCTTGGAATTATAAAACAGACTTGAGTACTATAAGGTAGTGAACAAAGAATCTAGCTTAGATTGGGAGGAAAAGCTGGAAAATTGATTACAAGATTGCATAATGACAAAGTTTATCCATATCTGAAATAATTCAGGCATTATTCATGTAAGATAAATTCTAGAGTTATGGGATGAGTGTTCAAATCTTATCAAAGGCTAAATTTTTTTTCTCATATTTTTTTTCATATTGTATGCTTTCACATTTGACAACTGGATTGACTGATAAAAGTAATGGAAAATATGAAGAAACTAATAAAAATGGAAACCTTTGGATATCACCATTCAGAAGCATGAATATAATAGAAAAGAAAAAAAAACATTGTTTTTTATTCAAGATATAATTTAATTTTAATATTAAATTTTTTTTAAATTCTCTCTTTTTTTTTCTTTCTCTCTCTCTCTTTCTTTTTTTCACTCGTATGTAACACACATTGCAGCACCATCCCAAAAATGATTTGGGGTGAGGTTGCATCAGCTCTAGAGAATATATTTTTCTTTATTCACTACAAAATATTGTAACATTTTGAGGAAAATGAGTTAAAACCTTAGAGAATGGCCCTGTGACAATTGACTTGTTCATTGTGTGCAAATGTTTGTTATAATTTTGGCTGGTGTCTGTGTTTGTCCTTCAAAGTTTGGTCTAATCTCATAGCCTATTAAAGTGACTAATACATTGCTTTTGTTCTCTAATTTGTAGATGGTTCTATTTTGGGATGTGCCACAAATTAACTTCTTTTGTCTAACATATCAACTCATTTCAGGATTGTTTGGCATGTTCAAAATCTTTTCACTTTACCTTGTTTGCTTTCATATTATGGTCTGTTTTTGTTTTCTTTATCTGACTTTAAGGTTTTCAGTTATGTTGCAATATTCACATTCAAAAAGAATAAGGAATAGTTTTCTACTTGTATTTAAAAAAATATAAATGTCACATCCCAAAAATAAAAATAATACTTTCATCAAGTTACCTACGAGTCATAAATATTAGCTAATTGTACCTGTGAAAATTTCATGGTTTTCCTTTTTTAATTTTCTAATGTCTATTTAATGAATAAATAAGCTCCTTGCAAGAATCCCTGTTGCATCGTTAAATATTTGAGTTTAACAAACTATTGCAATAACTATAAATCTTGATGCAGGTCATTATTTAAAGTAAGAGGGTATAAATGAAAAGATTTAAAATTGGCAAATTTTCCCATTTGTCTGAAGCAGATGTTAAACAAGTATTATTGCCTCTTTTATCTTCTCTCTATTTGTTTTTCTCACTAAAATCAAATAGCATATCTGATATGTCTTTTCTCTTTCCTTGTGATCAAAACATAATAGTCCATTATTTATGAGGTATTGGCAGGGTGATAACTAATAAACGAGCAGAATTATAAGATGGTACTTTAGTAACATTACTTCTGGCCTCTTTAACCTGGCACCAGACTACAAAAATTGCCACTAAAAAAAAAAACCCCAAAAGCCTATGTAAACAGTCTTGCTAGCTCATTCCAAGTATTTCTGTGTTATCAAGGTAGAACAAAGATCAAAAAAGGAAATAAAACAATAATTAATGCTTCTAAACAAGGTTTTTATTGTTTTTTATGCAATACAAAGGCTTAAAAAAAAAAGCCGAAAACAAAAATGATAGATATCATCATCCCCTTGGGTTTTGTAATCGTTTGATCTGAATGCAGAAGCCATATTGAATCTCCTCTACAATGGTCTATCAATGAAAGCTAGATTATGTGACAGCTATGATAGATTTATATAAATATAAAAGTGGACAGTGAAGTCAACACCCTGAAGGAACATTTTGTTTCATGCTTGAATGCAATCGTAAGGCCATGTTGACCTTGGTGTCCATTTTCATATTTACATATTCTCTATCCCTGATATTGAGCACTTTCACACAAATATAGCACACATTATATATATATATATATATATATATATATATATATATATATATATATATATATATATATATATATATATATAAAAATAATTATTTCTTTCTTTTATTTTTAGGAAATGGATTAAATCTGGCATATAGCTATTTTTAATTCTGTTTAAACTTTATTTATGATTGATTCTCATAATCAAGTAGAAACTCTTTTTCAATTAAATAATATTTTTTATCCAACTACCGGCCTGAATATGACAAGATATCTTGAATATTCAGGCCAGTAGATGTAGTTCGATAAAAATTACTGTTTAATTTAAAAAAAAAAAAAAATAAATAAAGTTTATATAAGAATGGATTTTTTTTTTTTTTTTTTTTTTTTTTTGACAGGTTTTCAGTAGATGCTTTATTTATTAAACATTTAAAGTTATATATATTTATACACACACTATCCTGAATGGGTAAATAGGCAGGTGTATAGTCTCAATTCATACCCAGTAAATAATTATAAAGCTTGAAATGTTTATTTACTTTTTTTTTTTTTTTTTTTTTTTTTTTTTTTTTTATATATATTAACTGTGATGAAAAAATGAGTTCAGCTAACATATTTCCAAGAGCCACATGTTTGTTTATGAAAAAAAATTAACTATATTTTAAGGTAAAAGGTGAACAATGCCAGCATACCACAGTTAATTCATTTCTTTGGTTTAACAGAGCATTTTTGTTAGCAAACTTAATATGTAATTTTTCTTGTAAACACAGGGAACATAGATCATGTAAGGATTTACAAGTTCTAGTTTTGTTTTTTGTTTTTATATTTTCCATTTTGGTAACTTTTTTTTTCTCTGGGTCACATTTTAGGAATTGTAATTTGCTCACACCTTACCAAAGGGAAATTCTGGTGATTAGCAGCCCAATGGTAAAGAAGGTCCAGAGAACTGGTTAAAGTGAGATAACTGCAGATTCGAAGTCGGAACATTATCATTGATAATTCTCTCTTCCAATTTGCAGACTCTATTCTTAGTATAATGCAAAAATATCACAATGATAAAATTGGTCAATAATTGGTTATAACTATTTATATAGGGACTCATGCATGCAATTACAAGTAATCCATAATAATATTTAAAATTTTGAAATCATATTTATTTTTGGCATATGAATTTTTTAAACTGTTTTTAAACATTTCTTTCAATCATTGCGCCTCACCTGTTATCCTCTTCCACTGCACCTATGAGGTGTGCTGCACCGTTTGAGAACTACTGGTGTACAGTATTTCACCTGGCTACCACTACTAGCTTTACATTACACTTTTAGTGATTTCTGTCTCCAAATAATCTTTTGTTGTCTTTTATGATTAGTTCCTATGTGGCTTGTATTTATTTGGATAAATATAATGAGTTGACACTCAACTTTGCATGTATTTAATCAATGCTTAAATAACTAGGAGCACCAATAAGTAGAAAAAAGAAAAACAATTGGATGCATTAACTTGTGATTAGGAATAATGTGTGTGTGTGTGTATGTGAGAGAGAGAGAGATTGTTTGCAACATTGACGGTAATGTTCTTAAGTTGGCTACTTTTTGGTTACTCACAGATTCTGAAAATATTTCCATAATTTCTTTTGGCTGGAGTTTTCCAAATTTTTACAGGATATTGTGAGTTTTGTTAATTCTTGGAAATTAATTAGTATCAGCTAAAACTAATTTTTAGGAGCTATTAAATCAAACTTATCTACACTCCCACTTTATTACGTTGGTTTATATGATGATTGCAAAATGATTTCATCGTAAAGAAAATTCATCAGATTGCTGAAAAGGTTTTGAAGTGTGTGTAAATATATGAGGAAAATGATATGTAAAATTTTTATCTATCAAACAATTTTAGGGTGGAGAAAGTATATATAAATAAATGTACATGTTTTAATGTACAAATTTAGGTCAAAATCAGAATTAATTAAATTATGTTAGTCTTTTTTTTTTTTTTTTTTTTTTAGTTCTTGGTAGGGGATGAGAACTTTTCAGTACCTCACCATACTGATGCTGACACATCAATTCTTACAGTTTTTATGCATTTTTTTATTTTATTTTTCCCAAAATGTTTCTTATGTCAACAATTATTTGAATTAGCCTTGTTTGAAAGGGGGCATTTTGTTTGTATATTTTGTCTATTTATAATTGATAAATATTGCTTCAATGTCTTCCCTTGCTCAAAATGCTATATTGTTTTCTTACCTAAACTTGTAGTAATACTTGATATTGATCTTGTCTTATAGCCTAGTAGATAAAAGGTAAAAACAATTGCCAGCCAATGACTGATCTAATTTTTTGTTTTTCTTAGACTAATTTTTCTATTTTGTTAATTTTATTAACCAGTTCAAAAAAAAACATGTAAAACCTAAATTAAAAAAAAAATATTTATTAGTTTTTACCAGTTTTTTTCTTTTGACTGTCTTAATATTTTTTTTTAATTTTGTTAGAATGTAAAAACTTATTTTAGTTTGTAAATCTTCCAGTATAGCCACTTGAAAGAAAAAAGATTTTGAAATTTTGCATATGTATCCTGAGTAATTGTGTATGATTTCATTTATTTCAGTTCCTAGAAATTTCCGGCTACTTGATGAATATGAAGAAGGCCAGTCAGGAGGAGGTGATGGCATCAGTTGGGGTCTGGAGAAGGATGATGATCTTAGTTTTTCTAATTGGATGGCTACTATAGTAGGCCCACCTAGAGTAAGTAACTTTTATTTATTAAGTTGTATTCCATATCTTTCTTTCAAACTATTTTAATGTCAGAAATTTCTTTTCTCTCTTTATCTATATCTCAAAATTGAATTGTAGTTTGTAAAATGGGATCAGTGTTCAACAGTTTGAATGGGCAAATCTTGTTTCTAAAATTCTACCTGGGAGCAAGAGAAACACTGAATTAAGAGATTGTAAACATGAGCATCTTGTAGAAAATGATACAAAAATTTTGAAACTTGGACTTAAATATAAAGTTAAAGAAAAGTTTCAATTTTTGTATTGCTCTTGGAAAACCCTTAATTGGCATTTGAAGACTTTTTTTTTTTTTTTTTTTTTTTGCAAAAGAATATATTTAGATTCAGAAATTTTGTTTGATGTGATTGTTTAGAAGTTTTAAATTAAGAGATCAGAGATTACTTAGCAATACTTTGATCATTGTTTAATAATCTTTCAAACGGCTCCCACGATTGGTATATGCCAAAGAGAAGACTAGTAACTAGGAAGTGTTGAATTCGGCAGTAATGCAATTCGAATTTGCATACAGACTTTATCGATAACTAACTTCTTATGGGGATTCTTTTGAATTCATTTATCTCTGTGATGACCCAATGGGAAGACTTAAATCTAAGAGTAGAAAATTTTTAACCAGAGGGTGGGGGTGAATTTCTGTCATAAGTATAATAGTGGAAGAAATTACAATACAAAATGGTGGTGGGGGTTTGTGTTTGGGATTGAAAGGAAAGTATGTGACCCAAGACTGATAACCACTGATACAGGATGCAATGGATAAATTGTTGTCTAAATGACATAAAAATGAAAATAACCCTGACATCTTGTTTTAACAGATATATTTAACAAAATTACACAAAAATATCTTAAAATACTAATGAGTAAATTTATTCAACAAAATCACCATTGGCTTCAACCACAGTCTCCAGATGACTTTGTCCAGAAGAGCTGCAGGAGATTCCAGTCTCCTTGTTGGTGAATGTTGCTATAATCCTTGATTTCATTTCATCTTTGGTTTTACAAGGAGTTTTGTTAGTTACTCACTCTACTGTGTCCTACCCATAATAATCAAGGGGGTTGCAGTCTGGGGAGTTAGGTGGCCAGATGTAAGGGGTGATGTGGTTGCAGAAATTGTCTGACAGCTATAAGTCGGAAGATGAATGGAAGCATAATGTTGCCATCACTGGTGATTGCTCCAAACACCTTTGTAATCACCATTAGACTCCTCCAACTCTTCCTGAATCCTCTGCACTGTCCTCAGACTGACACCCACACACTCTGAAATGTTCATGCTGAAGCTTATGGCACAAATGCCAAGCAGTACAGCATGCTGTTTCTAAATTTCTGGTGGAGTGAATTGCATCATGGTACTCTTTTTCTCACAGATTGTGCCCAACTGACCCTCTTGCAGTCAACAAAATCAAAAATGAATAATGTGCATGTGCAAAATTAAAATAATATATAATGGCGACCATTTACCCATCGCACCCCATGTTAAAATTTTAAAAAATGTGCATTGTATCTTTAACTTTTAGCACTCTGCATTATTAATATAACTTCCCTGTTTATTGCATTCTTTTTCAAGGCCTCTCAATTGCAGTATACTTATTGTTAATTTTGTTCAGAGTTTTCTGTTGCCATAGCAGGATATGACCACACAACTATGAAATTCAAACACACTATTGTTCAGGATCATTCACCTTCAGTGTCAAGATAAACTTTTTGTACAACAAATGAAGTCACATGCAGAGTGATAAAGGTGATAGATTTTCAATTTGAGTAGCAATAACATTTTATTTGAGTTTATTTTCCTTTTAGGAATGTTTTGTTATAATCCTGTCCAACTCTGTACTTGGGATACAATCTCAAACCTCTTAGCCTTCGGTCTCTTGCTCTACCACTTTAACACTTGCTAAAGTAATCTGTATTTATACTTTAAACTTTTATCTTTAAAATATCCTGAAACCAGAACATTGATGAATAACAATCTATTTATATCAAAAGCAGTAAATAAAATAAACAATTAAAAATTAAAATGAACAGCAATTTGTGGCTCATTTAAATATCTGTAGATAACATTGAAGTAGAAATGGTTATAGATTCTGTTTAACTTAAGGAAATGAAAAATGATTATAAAAAATTCCTTTTTATATTGAGTATATTAAAATATAAAAAAACTATAATTAGCTTTCAAATTCTTGTTAGTAAAAGTAATATTAAGAACAAGAAATACCCATGAGAATTTTCCTATTTGAATTTACTGATAAATCCTAATTCTTAAGTTAATGATTGAATAAGCTTATGAAAAGTTCTAAAACAATAAAATATCTAGAAATTCCCCTATCGCATTGTTAAATATTTGAGCTTACCAACTTTATCCTTTATTAGCTGGAGGTGAACATTGTCTCCATAGAATTCTCTCCCTTTGCTACTCTAGGTGCATTCTGTCACCTCAAAAGAGTTGCTATAAACAAACATTTGTTAACTGTTATTTCCGGTATTTTAAACTTACGGTCATTTTGGAATAGGGCTAAACTTCTACTTTCCAAAGCCATTTTGAATTATTTTCACACCCTACATGAGGTGTAACACACAATTAAACCCATGTTAATTTTGTCACCATTTTTTTGTAAACAAAAATAGTCGCATCAACATATAACGAAGCTCTTGTTCAGTAGTTTTTCTTTGTTTTGGATGCTGATGATGATTTTGAAGGCTTTACTCAAGCAGATATTGATGGTGAGGTGGTTGGAGATGGAGATGATAATAGTGCTAGTGACGAAGAGGATAGCTGTGATGACCTAGGTGTGAAGTCGTTACTATCATCCATGCCTGACTAATTTTATGGAAGTTACTGGTCGCATGGATGTACCTGATAGCCTTTCTGAAAGTTAATTATTTTATCTATTTATAAACAATGAAATAATAACTTTATTTGTCAATGAGACAAGTAAATATGCTAGTCAGGTGAAAGAAAGAGCAAACAAATGCTAGTGTCTACTGGTATGTAAATATGTGGAGGGGTGAAATGAAAGCCTTCTTAGCCATTTTGCTTTTTATTGCACCCACCAGAACTCCACAAGAAGTAACAAAAGTTAATGTTAAATTGTTGATGTATTTGTTTTTTAATTTGTTTTTAACATTAAAACATGCATGCAAAACGTAATTATTAACATCAAAATATTATTCATCCATTGTTTTATTAGTATACAAAAAATAAAATCTATACACACAATACAAAGAAAGTTATCTCAATTTTAAAACAGTAGGTGCTCATTTTTTTGCACCCTCAAAAAAAAAATGCAGTGGCAGGGAGAACAATTCTAGAAAGAATTTAGTGGGGTAATGGTTAACAAAATGTTGCAATAACAATCATAAGGGGGTACAAATAAAAAGATTTGAAATTGACAACTTTTTCCATTTCACTGAAATGGCCACTAAACGCTTTTATCTTTCCTTTCTTTCATTCATTTTCTCACTGAAACCAAGTCTTGTTTCTGATATGTCTCTTCCGTCGTTCCACATGCATCAAAATAGAATAGTCCGTTAATTATGAGGTATTGGCAGGAGACGTATAATACTTCTATCTTCCCTTTTATTTCTTTTTCATTTTCTCACTGAAACCAAGTAGCATCTGTCTTTTCAGTCCTTCTACACAATCAAAACTGAATAGTCCATTATATTTTGGGTATTGGCAGGGCATAAGTTTTGTTAAATAAGGGAAAGACAAGCAGAACCAGAAGATAATCTGTTGTCAAAGACATAATTAATATTTATTAATGATGTAAATAATTACAATGCCTCATTTTGGAAATATAGACAGATATTGAAGGATTGGTGTGTAATGATATAAATAGTTACAATACCTAATCTTTATTTTTTAAAAACATGTAATTTGGATGATTGATAACCATAATAAAGAAAATCTACAATTCAATTAAATTATTTAGCTTATCACCATTTACAATATCATAGAGAAAATAGCCTGGTCATTGATGATGGCACTGTCACTGACAAGTTTTACCTGGAATTTATCAACAATATCATTATTATTGTCATAATTGTCATTATCAACATTAGTCATCAGTCATCATTATTTTTATTTCTCCCTCTTCAATAAAACTACAGAGGCCCAACTTTATTTTTTGTGAGTGATAATGCAACTCCTCATTGTACTTACATTGTTACTGTATATCTCCAAGAAGCTGGTGTCTCACATAAGGAGTGGCTAGACATGTTACCAAATCTAGAACCAATAGAACACCTGTGAGACCAGTCAAAATGATATATTTGTTTAGGATCCCCTACCATGTATCCTTGGAATTGTATGTTTTCATAGTCAAGGAGTAGAATATCCTACCACAAAACGAAATCCTGTGACTGAAGTATGGGGTAGAGATGTCAATGTTTGATACCAATTGTGGAAGTAGCCATTTCTGTTATTAAATTTTGCTACAAGCCATTAAAAACAGCTCTAAATTAACCCTTAAAACTTACAATCCAAATACTATACCCTTCCCCTATCTGTGCCCTTTTTTATGAAAATAATGTCCATATACTCACTAAAGTTTAGAAACAAGCTGAAAAACCTCAAAAGAAGGTTTATTGTAATCTTAATGTCCTCTGATTTTCCCCTCAACAAAAGTCATTCTTTCATCATGTTCTTTTAATATCTACACATTTTTGTGAAATGTCCTGAATGTTTTTTTGGAAATGTGGAATGGTTTTTTTATTTCTTTTGCCACTTATGACTTGTGAAGTCTAGAGTGCAGTCTGGGTTCTCTTTTCTGAGTATGTCTGTCAACTAGGGTGGCTAGATAATCCCTGTTGTAGACACCTGCTCAAATACATTTCTGTTTCTTCAAACCAACAGCCAGTCTGTGCTTTATACTGTAACTATGCTGAACAGACCTTACAGTTTCTGGGAGAGAGTGCAGATTCTGGTGTGGGTTGGAGTCTAACATGGCCAGTGTTCTCAAACTATTAGTCACAATGGCTTGTGACTTTCAGCTAGCATGATCTTAAATGACTTCCAAACAGTTTTTGTGTAGCTAATCTCACACTCAAGACTTGAGTCTCCCCATGGGATGGTGTTCAGGCACTTCCCTGTGGTGCTACACATTAGGATTGTCTCTCTGGACTGGTAATATTAAGAAGTAACCTCCTTGACAAATTGAGATTAGAACCTGGGCATCATGGTTGGAATAATAATCTTTTATTTTTGGCCATGAACTTGTTTTATCTATGGGAGAGAAAAAAGCACCATTTTCATTCAGTTTTTTTTTTTTTTTTTTTAACTTCATTCTTTTTAATACTGTTCAAATGTTGACAGAATTGACATTTTTGTTCATGTATTTTCAGAAATAGTCCTTATTTGTTGATAAAGAGTTACAGATAAGAAGATAAAAATTATATTTTAAATTTGTAACTTTTTATTTAATTTCTTTTTCAAACATTTTGTTAAATATTTTTTATTTTCATTTATTTTTATTTATTTATTTTATTTTTTTCAGACTCCCTATGAGGGTAGGATATATACTCTGAAGATAGTGTGTGGTAAAAAATATCCAGAAGAATGTCCATGTGTCAGATTTCTTACCAGAATTAAGCTAAATGGTGTCAATGATTCAAATGGCCAAGTAAGTTTTCTTTCTCTTTATACAGTTATTTTTCCTTGAATCTGCAAATTTATTTTGAATTTTTGTCCAGGTTTCTTCTATACATTTAAAAAAAAAAATTCTTTCAGGAAAAAAAAACTACTAATAATAATAAACTTGACCAGTATCATTTTATCTCCCTGAAATACTTACATTCTACAATCATTAACCTGTTGGACCCTGAGATCCGACCACTTGCTAATACACTATCCCTTAACATTTTGGGTAAATTTTACTATTTCAGAATCGTTTGTCTAACAACAAATCCCCAGTGAAGAGCAAAATATGACTAGTACAAAGTTGCTCATTTGAACAGCCTTAATCTCCTGAAAAGTTGGACTGGGTCATATCATTCTTTTTTAGTGATTAGCTACTAAACTGGTGCTTAAATAAGTAGTATGGGCTAGAAATAAAGTAGTAGCCTCTGAAGATATTTGAACTTGCAGACTCTATTCTTTGGCACACCAGTCTGAAATGAATGATTCTTTACTGATTTGACTACAAAGAACTATAAGCAAAGTTCAAATTTAACCACAAAAGCTGATAAAGATGAAAAGAAAAAAAATGACCCAGAATTTTTTATTTAACAGATTATCTAAACTTCAATTAGGCACTATAAATCGTAGCTTATGCTGAAGAAATCAAGGAAAATCTCTATACTTTACGGCTAAGTCTACTTAATAAGGTTGGTTAAGTATCTGTATAAATTACATGAGTCAGTATGAATTTTTTTTCATGCATACATATGATGGGTTTTGACTTATTAAATAAGTATGCAATTTGCAAGATTTATTGCACAGATGGCAAATGTAATTCACTGATCAATGGAGTTTGTGCCTCCCGAGTTTCGTTATGGATTTTCAGGTGTTTGATCAGTCTCGATTGACTGGAACACATCTATAGACTGAGTGGCTATGGTTAAATGTAAATAAATGGTAGAACAGCCTAACAAACAGAATTGCAATAAACAACAACAATAAAAAAGAACAGAGCAAAAAAACATTGTATGCAAGGCAAGTTAACAGTAATAAGGCAAAGCAACAATAATATAGCAAAAAGTTCACAAACTAAGAATTGGGGTTGCCACATTAGAACAAATTTGGATAAACGAATGTAGTGTTCTGATTTCAAGATGAGACAAACTGGGACTGAGTCAGATGAAACTGAGAACCAGCCTATTTTATTGGCTTGGAAGAAATCCCAGCATGCATTTGTGTGCTTCTACCTATAAATGGGGTGGGGTTGGGGGTAATAATTCCTAGTCAGGATTGTAACCAACACTTCTGTATGACATTTTTTGTGACTGTCAAGGCCTGCCTAGGATAGACAGTTGCAATTGCATTTCGAACATGAAAATTGTGGAATATTTTTCCCTACTGTCCTTTACTGGCTGTCCGCATGGTGCTTGCTCCCATATAAAATTAGGAAATAGGACGATTCCACTACCTTGGTTTTCAACATTTTGGTATCTTCAAATGATTTGGGTCAGTTTATTCTTAACGCTATATTTTTTTTAAAAATAAATAAATGAATACGGGTGAGATGTGGTAGAAGATGAGGAGGAGGGGAAAATCAAGCGTCTTAGAAATGTATCGGTGGGGGGTGGTAAATGAAATATGCATATTGTCATTTTATCCCACTTCAAATGAACTCAAAAGGAACTTTTTAATATGAATACAATGGGACATAATTTCCAGTCTCTGGTTTAAATGTTGTTTTTTTTTTTTTTTTTTTTTTTTTTTTTTTTTGTCTGGAAATTTTATAGCTAATTTCTCTTGTTGACAAAGGTTGCAGATATATAGTCTGATCAAAAAGTATGCAGAGTGAAGTTGCTTGGCATAGATTGACCTTGAACTCTTGACATGCATAAATGTTATAACGTTCTTGATCACTGCCATTGTTTATAACAGTGCTAAGAAAGAAAGTGTGTAGAGTGTAGTCGTTTCACCACACCATAGAAGTTCTATCAGTGACAATGGGTTGTGCAGCAGGAAATTTTAAGGAAATTAATGCTGGATTGATATGTGTTGTAGTTTTCTTTTTATAGTAAGTCTTGATACTTTTGATCTGTGTGTGTAATAAGCCAACCTTCCTGCAGTTTCTACTAATTAAGTATCATCAGGCAATAAAATTCCATCCTATGACACTTATATACATAATCATGCCTACTGGAGGAAGATAGAAGTAAAGGCTGATATATTTTATGTAAATACTCCTACCCAGAATCATAGCTTGTTAGGAGGAATTTTCTAGCATGCTTGCATGCCGTCTCCATCTCCGATCTTTCATTAAGCAGCTTATGTTGTTCAGGGTACAGCATAATTGCCAATTTCTCCTCTTGTTATAATTTACACATTTAAATGGATGAAGCCAATGGCAAGGGGAGATATAAGGTGAACAAATTAGAAAAATGGTCTGTTTGTAATTGACTGACTACATTTTATTGTTAATAAGAGTATCTCTTTTCTTTAATTAATCACTTCACCTCAAGCAAGGTGGGAGTGCCACTAGTGAACACGGGGTAACAGAGGGAAAGTGAGGGGCAAAGACTGGTTATAGGGGGGATTGAGGAAAGGATAAAAAATGAACAGGGTTCAAGACAACAACAGATGGCAATTGATGTTGCATTTAAATTTTTGAAGATTGTAGTTATCAGGGAAGCAAATAAGCGGAAGTGAGTTCCACTTTTGACAAGTGCGAGAAAAGAAACTTGGAGTAGAAGTGGCAGTTACATTTAACCATTTCAACAGTAAAAAGTCTTTTTGTTAAGCTAGTTTGAGTTTATATCTTTGGCTGTTCATAATAATGATGTGTTATATTGGTAAGGAAAGGCCTAGTGTAGTAGTAGTAGGTCATCTAATATATGTGCAGGAAGGGAAACTGGTGCAAACTACAACATGGCGTGGCTTCAGGATTGCTCATCAAAGGTGCTTGCAGAGATACCCTTCCATGCATGACCTGGCACTGCAAAAACCCCAATACTATGCAACTGTTGATCAGAGCTGCCTCTCAAGAAACTACACAAGAGATCAGGCTCCTAATTACCAGTTGGGAACAGCAACCAGAAAACTGCCAACCCGGTACAATCTGTATGAAAGGTGTTGTCACCATCCATGCATATCACAAGAAATTCATGACAGCATCACTATTAAGGCCTAAGGAAAGGAACCAGGAACCCCTTCCTAAGCAGGAAGCAAGGGATGATCTTCTATTCCTGTTCAAAAGAAGTGGGAGGAGTATAGACTGATCCTCACATTTTAATAAATAAAAACTATTTTAACAAACTTTTTTTTTTCTATGATATTCCTTGCCAAAATTCTTTTAGATAATTTATCCTTCAAATTCAATTTCTGTGCTTTATTTTTTTTCTTTCATATTAATAACCTTCCAATAAGCATCAATGTAAATTATTAGTAATGCCAGGTCCTCCTCATCAAATCTTTTCCATTAAGATCCACTACTGCAGTAGAATTACTTGTAGGTATCCATGTAAATCTGAATTAAAAGTAATTTAAACATTAAATCAATTCACATCCTGGAACTTGGACAAGCAGAATTTATTTGCAGATAACTTGGAAATTGTTTAACAGTCTTTTTTTTTTTCATAAATGTTTAGAAACATTTGTTATTTAATTTTAATAATCATTGAACTGCTGAGTCTTTGCAAAAAAACAAATTAATTGAGTACAGTGTCTTTTGCCCTTTTTGGATGGCATTCTTCAAACTGGTTTTCTTAAGGAAATTCCTGTCACAGACTTGTTAACTAACTTTCTACTTGTTAGTTCCGATTGTCAAAACTCCCATAAAGCATTAAAGTCATAGAGGCACCCCATTTACTCTAGCTATGTTATGTCTAGATCAAGATAGTCAGACAGAACCCAACCGACTTCGGGGCTGGTTTTTAGGTTTTCCTTCTAAAATTGTTTGCTGTCTCAAGGTTCAAGAGAGCCCAGTCTGCCCTGCTATTTAACCCATAGCTGGAGAGCTGGAGATGGGTTCCTGCCTTTTCCAAAGTTATTAGTGTGAAGTGAATGAAACTTAATCAAGTGAGAATTGAACTTGGCATGCTTAATTCATTTTTGACGCCAATAACCATTACACGATCCATGCTTCTAGTTTTGACTGTATAAATGTTCCCAATTGAGTTCATATCTGATTTACCAGAAAAGAATATGATTTTAAAATTATCTCTGAATCAATTTGTTCTGTTGATAGACAATCAGTCTTTGGGCAGTGGGACACAGTCCCAATTGGAAAATGTCTCCTCATTTTACAGAATTTTCATACCTGATTAACTGTAAAAGCAGTTTGTATAGGAAATATCTCTTACCAAAATTCCCTAAAGGCAGACAATCAAGATGATATTTTTTGAAGACCTCATTCAAGAGCATCACTGATCACTTGAATTTGGCTTTCATCACTAAAGATCACAAAGTGATGCGGGTTCTTGACATTTTTGAAACTCAACAATGGATCTTGACCTTCCAGATTGAAAAGTTTTAGACAATCACCCATCCACCTAGATGTACTGTTCTTCCTTGGCTAGTTGAGTGAAAATTTACTTTCTGTTTCATTAGGGCTGCAGGGAGTATCTTTTGATGTATCTGTTATTTATTAATGAATTTTCTTTGAATTTCCTGAAAATTTTATCTTCCCTAAGATTTTTTCCCCATCTCTTTTAAAGCTTTAACCATTTCGCTTCAATGCAAAGTTTTTTTTTTTTTTTTTTTTTTTTTTTTGACATCTGTATCAATTAACTTGGGACTTGAGAGGGGGACATCTAGATGAAATACAGAAATGATACCATAAAGTATAGGTACCTCCACTTTTTCACTGAAAAATCACAGCATAGCATGATGAAAAAAAGGTCCCAAACATAATAAATACAAAGTTTTATTGTCAAAATGTTTATTAAGAGGAAAAACAAACTTTTCCTTTCTACCATGTTCAAAATTGTGGTTAATATTTACAATTAGTGTTTT